CTTTGAAAATTCTAATGTGAACAAATTTTGGTTCAATTTTTACCACAATAATAACCTGAGTATGCTTAGGAAAAGATACTTCATTAAGTACTTATCCATTTAAAACTAATTATGTCATTTAGTCATTTTCTATTTGTGACATCAATCTGTTCATATCCATTTTGAGACTGCATGCTAAATATATCTAGATGTGTAAACAACATTTCTTTAAAATGGTGCATAGTTCGATATAAGAAGCTTTAGATTAAAAAATGCAATAACTTTATGTGTGCAGAATTTCTTTATAAAGATTGTCAGGTAAAAGCAATACAAGAAAGAAGTTCTTTCTATTGGTTTCTTTTATTGGAGTGTGGTTTAAATTATTGCTTTCTACCAAAATTTGGAGAAGTACTGAGAGATTTTCATATCCGGGGGGATCTTTGCTATCAGAAAAGAATAAATAACAAAAACAATAATGCTGACATCTGCAGAGGAGATGTGAAGCCTTGGTAAAAGGAAGTTTGCTTAAAACTCAGTCGGTGTGCAACTAGTGGCCTTACTTTCCAAAGCATAGCTCTTGGATGGGTTTCCCCACATCACCACTTTGTTTCTGTGCTTTCTTTCAGTCCTGTCTTAAGTAATTTCTCATTACTGTGACTAAATACTGACAAAAGCAACGTAAGGGAAGAAGGGCTTTGTTATGGCCTTCAGTTCTAGAGGGACACAGTTCATCATGCTGGGGAAGACTTGGCACTAAGTAGGGAAGGAATGGTCACAAGGACAGGAGGCTGTCTGGTCACACTGCACACACTTTCAGAAAACAGTCTGATCACGAAGTTGGGGTTGGCTGTAAAACCTCAAGACCTGTTCCAGGTGACCCTCTTCAATCAGGGAGGCTTCACCTCCTCAAGGTTCCACAACTTCCAAAATACTACCACCAACTAGGAGAAAACGTGTTCAAATCTTTGCACCTGTGGGGTATTTCATACTCAAATCCCACCGAGGCCTCCTTCCAGCCTATTTTCTAATTGGTGTCTTGCTGTACTTTTCACTCAAGTTGGATTACTTTTATTTATCCTTGAGTTCTGTTCTTCCTCTGTATGTTTCTTTACTTTTTTTCTTGCCACCAGTCTCCTGGAATGTTCATGCCCTTAGCTTTTACGAACTTCCCACACTTGTTCAAAGGTCAAATCAACATTCTATCTTTTCCAAAAAGAGAGGACAGTATAGTGGAGAGGGCTCAATGTCAAGCGAGGGCTGGCTTTGAATACTTACTTAGGGTCTTGGACCTATGACCTTGAACACGTCATATACTCATAGTTTGCTTATCTCTGAAACGAGTAGAAGAAACATGTGCTACCTTCACCTGTACCTTTGCTCTTGTTGACTCCAGCCCCTTTGTCTGCAATTACAATAAACACCTTTATGTCTTTCTCTGTATCCGTCCTGGTGGTGTCTCATATGAAACTGAAGCTTTAGAAGATTAATAGTAACAGTTGTACTTAGCAGCAATCAGGTGACTGCTGTTTTGTGATTTGTGTTATTATATTGATTGACTTGCAGCCATAGTAACCGCTCTGTAATCAGGTATCCTTTCTGTAGTTGTGACATTCCCAGAGAGGCATCATTCTGCTTCATGACAAGTAGGCCTGGATGCCTGCCATGATCTTTCTTTCAGTTTAGTATGAGGAAAATGCTGCCAGTAGTGAGAACAAAGGACCTTTGCTTTTGGTCTTTGAACATGAATTATTTTCTAGGACAATTACGGCCTGAGTGCTGCTCTTACAGAGATCAAAACTTGCAGTAACCCTTCTGTTTTAGACGTCTGCTACCTTTGAGAGTAGGGCGGCAAGCTTTCACTACACTGCAAGAGACCGCTAAGTGCCTTCCAAGAAAGGGTAGGACACAACAGCTTGATTTAAGTCAGACAAACTAAAACAGAGACTGCTTAGGCTGCAGGGAACACCATAAAAGGACATGCATTATTGTGGGTATAAAACTTTTATCTTTATCAGTGTTGCTCTGTAACAGTTAATGGTTCTTTCATAGAAATACTTTTTTTTCTTTTTATAGTTGGCTGAGTGGAATATTGATTGTTCTATATCCCATTTCCTTAAAGACGTTCTGGAGGCTTTTAATATATGTCTCCTAATAAAACCTTTACCATCTACCAGTGTCTGCTTTATGTTGCGTTCAGGTGTCTCAGAGGTGTGACTAAGCATCTACTTTATCACTTGCCTCTGGCTACCTCCCTTCTTTGCTCGCCATTTACGAAAGGGAGAAGGACACAGTATTATTGTCCTCCAGAGGAACGGAGCCAATGGAAAATATATCATAATAAGAGACGGCTTATTAGATCGGCTCACAGAATATGAAACTGTAGAGTCTTGAAGTTGCTGTTTACAGGCTGGAGGGATGGGAAAATCAGCAACTGCTGACTCTAACAAGCCGAGCCTCAAATGAGAGGCCAGTGATGCAGCTCCCTTGTAGGCATGAAAGCCTTCTGGAACCTTTCTGATGGAAGTCCATATCTAAAATCCAAGGAACTTCAAAGCTGCTGTCCACAGATGACAGCAGTAGAAAAATCACCCGTGCTCTAAAAGTCATTCACAAGTGACAGCTAGCTTCCCCCTTTATCCCTTTTCATCCCATGCTGTCCCCGCAGGCTCAGGTTACCCACATTTAAGGTGCATCTCTTCCACTGACCCACACTCCCCACTTTACAAACAATTTCACAGACACACCTAAACATAACTTCTTTATATCCCACAGGGTTCCTCAGTTCCATCAAGTTGACAACCGAGATGAATCATAATAGGATCCACAGTGGTGAAGGACAAGGTTGGCTCTCAGCTTACCACTTAACAAGTGTAGTAGCTTTGTTTCTGTTTCTGTGACAAATTATCTGAGAAAGGTTATTTTGGCTTATCACTCTAGAGGAGACACAGGTTGTCACGGTGGGGAAGGCATGGCAGCCAGAACATGAGGCCAATGTTTCACAGTCTGCCAAAACAGGGGAGGAGGAGGAGGAGGAGGAGGAGGAGGAGGAGGAGAAGGAGAAGGAGAAGAAGAAGAAGAAGAAGAAGAAGAAGAAGAAGAAGAAGAAGAAGAAGAAGAAGAAGAAGAAGAGGGGGAGGAGGAGGGAGAGATGGAGAGGAGGGGGAGGAGGAGGAAAGGAGGAGGAAGAGGAGGAGGAGGAGAAGAGAAAAATCCCCAGCAAACTAGAACAACATTTTTGAAGTATTTTTATTATGATAGAATGTATACGTGTGAGGTCCAAGCTCTCACGTCAGGGAAGGAAGATGGCACAGGAGGCTTCGAGGCTGAAGAAACTGTGAGGAGTCACAGGCAGAAGAGACACATTTATTCCTACACTGTTCTCTGCTTCCTGACTGAAGACATAGTGTGAACAGCCACCTCACACTCCTGCAGACACAGTGTGGACAGCGGCCTCAGGCTCCTGCAGACACAGTGTGACAGCGGCCTCACAGTCCTGCAGACACAATGTGAGCAGCGGCCTCACACTCCTGTAGACACAGTGTGGACAGCGGCCTCAGGCTCCTGCAGACACAGTGTGACAGCGGCCTCAGGCTCCTGCAGACACAGTGTGGACAGCGGCCTCACGGCTCCTGCAGACACAGTGTGGACAGCGGCCTCACAGTCCTGCAGACACAGTGTGAGCAGCGGCCTCAGACTCAGCCACCAGTGTGTCTCTACTGTGGTGGACTGCATCCCTCCTCACTGTGAGCAGAAAGCCTTTCTCCTCTAAGTTGCTTTTCTAAGGGAACTTCATCATGGCAGTGAGAAAAATAACTGATACCAGCCACCTTAAATTCTACTACTCAGTGTAATGTTTTATAATGTGTGTTAAGAGAGACATAAATTTAAATTTCAAATTGAAAAGTTGGCCTTCAAACTTATTTTCTTAATTATGTGTTCATGGATTAAAGCCAGGGGAAAAATACTTACATTCCAGTTACCATATACTGAAAGTCTAAATATTTTCTGTGATCAAATCATTTTTTGTAATTTCTATGAAATGATTTTTTTCTAAATTATTTTCTTAGCATCAGTGTTGAGACTACGTCTTTGAATAAATGAATTCATTGGAGTTTAAATTTTTGAACACTAACAAGCTATCATTCCAAAGAATTTCAGAAGCTACCAATATGTTTCAAAGATAAACTTTCATAATTAGAAATTTAAAAACACCCATGTTCAATTGAGAGCCCAGTTCTCACTTTCAGTTATTTCCTGTGCTACTGACATACCCCAGGTTAAATCTTGTAAGGGTCCAAAGGCTGCAGCCTCTAACAAAGCCATTCAAGTGCTCCAGAGTTCAGGGCCACATGAAGTGTGCCCCTTGCACACGCAGTTGCTAACAATCCTCGGGGGTGGTGAGCGCACAAGTCCATTTGGATTCTGAAGTCCAGAATTTAAAATGCTTATCTCTAGGGAGATTATACTTTTTTTTGCTCCAATAAATATTAAGACCAATAATCACAGACTTTGGCCTGTTTCACATCGATGACCAAGAACAGACTTCAGGGTCAGATGAGCATTTGAGTTCTGGCTCCACTGTTTCTCACTTGTCTGTGTGTCTCTGATTCCATTTTGCTAAACCAGGGTTTTCATGTCTATTCAATATGACAATCCTGATTCCCTGGGACTTCTCATGTGAACATAAGCCTGGTGTATCCCCCTCCCCATAAGCAACATGAAGAATCCAGAAAAAGCAGTTCACAACTCTCTTGACTCAGAAAACTTCACAAATCCAAGCAAATCAACAGATTCAGACCTTCAGATTCACTTAAGAACATCCCTGTAGAGGGAAGTCTTTTTCTTGCCAGCCGGCTATGTTTTTTTCCCCACCAGTCGCCTCAGCTCTGCCGCGTTGTAATCCCCAAATAACACACAAGAGACTATATTAATTATGAAGCTGTTGGCCTTGCTTGTTTCTTACTGGCTAGCTCTGACTTAAGTATTTACCCCATAATTGTTAATCTAAGTATTTCTCTTACCGGAGAAGTTTCTGGGCTTCTTATCCCTATGGCAGTTAGATCTTGACTCCCTGTGGTTCTCCTACCCAGAATCCTCCTGGACTCCTGGTCCCACCTATCTTGCTTCCCTATTGGCCAACAGTGCTTTATTGACATATACACAGGACTTCCCCAACGCACCCCCATATCTTTCCAGACCACCAAGGTTGTACATATCCAAAATCCACCAAGAATAGGAAAAAAACGGTACTTTAAAGGGGGGATGGGAATGTGTTGGAAGGGTTGCTTAGTGGTTAAGAGTATCCACTGCTGCTGCAGAGAACCTAGCTTGGATTCTTAGCCCATATGGGATCACAACAACCTATGGCTCCAGTCCCATACTGGCTCCATACACATTCAAATGCCCACACGTGTGTATGTATAACTAAAAATTAAAATTATTAAAAAATCTGTGTGTGCATTTAGGGAGTGACAGTAGATGTAAAAAGGTCAAACTGGGGTTGAACATGGGTTTGTGGCCTACAGAAAAATGCTAAACGTATGCTGTACATCTCTAACACATAGATTGTTGTTGAACTTAAGGGTTTAGACATAACTCTTAACACCTCCAGGTGAAAACAGCACTCACGCTTCACCATGACTTTTCAGGACTCAGCATCAGATTAACTCATCTGAGCTCCCGGGCTGCTTGGAGACCATCCTTACTGAAGACACACACTGTCCCTAAGCCAGAAGCGAGGGAAGGAACAAACACTTATGTCACAGTAGTAAATCAAGCACAAAATACATGAGCTTAACAGTAATTCTAAAATAAAACACAATGCCATTTTGTTAGAAACTAAAGGTTATAATGGCCTGGTTGTGCTTAGAAAACATGGTGTTGATAATGATATCCAGTAAGAGTTAGCTAAAACATGGCAGAGACTGGGCATGGGAACTATGAGTCTGCAGAAAACGGCTCACTCAGTGTGTCTGAGATCCCAAGGTAAACAGTGATGTAATCTCTTATATAACTCTTTCTGGTATAGCTCTGCTTTTGTGTGATTCTGTGTAAACAGGATCTTGAGTTAAGAGGTGTAAACCTTTGCCTCTGCCTTTCCCAGCTTGCGTGTGTGCATCTGACTGTCTGTAGGCCTGCCTGCCTGTATATGGCCTGTGTGCTGTCTTAGGAGTATCTTTGCCTGTCTGTGTGTATCAGTGTATGCCCACCTAGCTTACTCCTCTGCAGGCAGTCCCAGGATCTTTTCCATGGAATGCTGCTGCTCATTTTCAGGGCGAGTCTTCTCACCACAGTTAAGTTAACCTGAATAATCCCTCACCAGCATGTCCAGAGGCTAACCTAATCTAGACAGTTCCTTGCATGCCCAGAGACTTTCTTTAGGTGATTCTAGGTCTTTGAAAGTTGGAAATCAGATAAATCACCTCAGCTGGTAAATGGGCTTTGCATTTAAAGAAGAAAGACAGAAATGGTGGAGATAATTACAAACATACATTTCAGGGACAGCTTTGTTTTTGCTTAGCCATTAAATTTCTGTCAAGTTATTCAGACACAGGCAGACTTGGATCTGATCTTTGACAAAATTGCCTAAGCGCTAATGACCTACTATGAGAGTGGCTTTGGAAACTTTCATGCTGTTCACCTTAAAGTCATTCAGTGAATGCTAGCCTCATGCTGTGGTAAGTTATTCCACTGAAATTCTCCTGACCCCAACTGTAACAATGACAAGATAAATAATGAGTATTTTAGTATTTACTGCACACTGTCTATTTTATAGATACCATTTGCATATTTAGAAAATAGCAGTGAAGAAAATACGTCCTCAGTCTCAAGGAAATTGCTATCCTAGAAAGCAGAGCAGTGACAGAAGAGAAGAAGGTACCAGTACATAACAAGCCATAGGAAGGCAAGGGTTGCTTGTTAAAATACAGCTGCACAATGGTGAAAGGACATGGGCTCTAGCTCACTGATGAAGACAGAAAATGGTATTTGTTAAGTGTTTACTGTATCCTAAACTCTTTGTTTATAAGCTTTTGTTAACTTTCAGAAGCCACAAAGTTGGATTGTATTGTCCTTACATTATACATGCCCAGACTAAAGTCCATGGAGATGCACCCAGGATCCCAAAGCACAACTGTTCCTGTTAGAATCAAGTCCAGGGCTCTGTTACCTTTGTTCCATTTTGCAGGCTTTGCTTTCTTTTACTTGATTTTTCTTTTTAAAAAAACAGGATGCATTATGGTATTTCAATAATACTGTTTTGATTCACTCTCCCCTCTCCTGTAATTTTGTCTCCCTCTTGCTGATCCAATTCCCCCAACAGGTGCTCTTTTATGTTCTGGTCTCAAGTTTTCCATTACCCTATTTATTTATTTCATCCATCCAGTTCTGGAATGTTGCTTTTTTTCCTTTCACAAACCTTTATCTAGTTATCACACAGGCACCCACATACATGCACGCACCCTCTCCCCCCACACACTGAAAAATCTAGATTCACCAGATGAGGGACAATGTGATATTTGTCTGGCTTATTTTGCTTTGCATAGTCATTTCTATTTCCAACCATTTTGTTGCAATGCCATGATTTGACTTTTCTTACTGGCTGAATAAAACTCCACTGTGTATATGTGTGCATGTGTTTTCCTTTCCTGTGCACAGTAATCTAGGATGATTCAATATCTTTTTTTGGAATGTGCCTCATCCTACCTGGGACAGAGATGGAATGAAGAAAACAGACACACAGATCCACATACAGAAAATCTGGCATTGGGTAGGCTGTGCTCTCTCTACTGGAGCAGGACCAACTTTGAAAGAATCCAGAAGCTCAGCATTTTTATTAAGTACAGCATATTGAGAAGGAGTTAGCTGATCTCAGTTAAAATGTCTCTGTAGGGAGCAGTGTCAGGTTACAGCTATTCTGGAGGAGGAACCTGCAATTCTAGCCTTTGGATATATTGGTTCATGTCCATAAACCCTCATATTTGGACCGAAGAAAGGCTCACATGGAGAAGACTTTGCCTCTCTCCGGACCTGAGGCATTGGGTCCTTGGCATACTTGGTCAAGCCATGCTAATGGTACTAAGGGCTTTCTTTATCTTTTCTTTTACACATTCACTCAAGGCTTCCTCAGCTCACGCAGGAAAGAATAATGTAGCAATAACATGAAATGGAAAATATCTCACTAGTTGGGGTTAGAGACATTTGTGCATACACCCAGGAGTAGTGTATCTGGAACATACAACAATTCTATTTTTAGTTTTTTTTTGGGGGGGGGCAGGGTTTTAAGACAGGATTTCTCTGTATTGTTTTGGATGCTGTCCTGGAACTCACTCTGTAGACCAGGCTGGCCTTGTACTCACAGAGATCCACCTGCCCCTGCTTCCTGAGTGCTGGGATTAAAGGTGTGCACCACTAAAGCCCAGCTTATTTTTAGGTTTAAGATACCTGTATACTGATTTCCACAGTGGCTCTCTAATTTACATTCACTCCAGCAGTCAGTAAGTATTTCTCTTCCCCTATATTCTCACCACCATTTATTATTTTCTTGATAATAGCCATTCTATTTGGGCTGAAATAGATTCTTACCGTATGCATACATGTATGTATGTATGGTGTATGTGTGTGTGTGTGTGTGTGTGTGTGTGTGTGTGTGTGTACAGGTGCAAATACAACTGTTTGTGCAAACACTGGGAGCCAGAAAAACTAAGAACACATGCCAACACATTTTATTTTAAATGTGGGTTCTTGGGATCCAACTCAGGTCACTGCATTGACTGAACTGTCTCCCTACTTCTAACAGTAGTTTTAATTTTCATTTCCCTGATGGATAAAGCTGTTGATCACATTTATAAGCATTTATGGGCCACTTGCATTCTTTTTCAGAGCTATCTGTCTATCGATAGGAACTTTTGTGTTTTGGATGTTTAGCTTTTAAAATTCTTTGTACAGTCTAGATATTAACCCCTGCTTGCCTGTCTGATGTATGGCTGGTTAAGACCGTTTCTTTTTTTCATCCTGTATACAGTTTCTTTTTACTATGATGATTGTTTAATTTCTGGGTTATCTCCTGCACTAACTGGAATCATTTTCAGAAACTTCTCACCATGCCTATATCCTGAAGTATTTTCCTCTAGTAATTTCTGCATTTTAGGTTTTATTAGGAAGAAGGGCTTTGAGTTGATTTTTGGGCAGGATAATTGAGGTGTGGACTTAGTTTTGTTTTGAAATCTAGTTTTGATAGCATCGTCTTTTGAAAAGGCTGTTTTCCCTTCCCTGGAATATGTTTTAAAGCTGTTTGTCAGAAGCTAGGTAGTGTGGCTGTGTGGTTGGCTTCCAGCTTCTCCTTCATGTTCCATTGGTCCCCATGTCTGTCTCTCTGCCAGAAACATGCTGTTCTTGTTAGTCTGGCTCTGTGGTTAGGCTTTGCCGTGTTTCCAGGATTGCCTTTTCTGTTACAGGCTGTTTCAACCACTTGGGGTCTTTTATGTTTTCTTATGCATTGGTTTTTTTTTCATTGTTGTTTTTCAAAGGAGCTTCCTCAGGATTCTGAAGAAAATTGCATCAAATCTGTAGATGGCTCTCGATAATATAGATATTTTCATGACATTGCTTTTGCCTACGAGAATGTGAGGTATTTCCTTACTTGCTGTCATCTTAAGTTTTTTCCGTTAGTGTCTTAAAGTTTTTATTGTTAAGGTCTTTTATCTCCTTTTTAGGTTTATTTCTAAGAATTTTATGTTTTGAAGCTGTTATGAATGGGATTTATTTATTTTTTTCTTCCTAGGGAAATGTATTGTTGGACTGTGGAAAAGCTACTATTTTTTGTATATTTTAGTTTCTGCTACTTTGTTGAAAGTGTTTCTAGTGGAGGCACTTGGGTGTTTTAGTGTAGGAGCGTGTCCTCTTCTGGATCAGTTGATTTATTTCTTTCCTGTTTTCTTCTTTTGTTCTATTACTCTAGCTAAGACTCAGACACTGTGTTGAATAAGAGTGGAGAGAGAGTGAGCACCTTGCCTCTTTTCAAATTTTGGAGAAAATGATCTGGGATTCCTCCCGTTTAGTAC